TGCGGGCTTGAGCAGCGCGCTGCTGTGCTCGGCCCTCCCGTTTCTGTTTGGAGGCGGCACGTCGCGAGAGGAGGCTCCAGGCGCTCCTCCCGTCGCCGCTCCCGAGGAGCGAGTCACCCCTCCGGCGGCGCTTCCACACGCCCTCGAGAGCGCGGCGGGAGAGCTTGCTCCCGCGCCGGCCTTCGACGAGTCGCCGCCGTCGGTCGACCCGGCTGCGGGATGGGGGATTGCGCCTTCCGATGGCGCGGTGCTTGCTCCGGTGGCGGCGCCAGCGGGTGGCGGGGGCGAGGATCTGGTGGACAAGTGGGCGGCAAAGTGATTGCCGCGGGCACAGCGCCCGGCGGCGGCGAGGCGCACGTCGGCACGTCTTTGGAGAGACGGAGAGTTTCTCCACGCCCGGCGCGCCGAACTTATAGCCTTTAGGTATTTGTCGCTCTTGAGAGTTTGCCGTGGGGCTCCTCGCTGGTGGAACTGCTGGGAGCTCCACAGAGAGTCCTGGAGAGAGGGGGACGTCACGATCTCTCTCATTCACCGTGAGTGACCGAGCGATGAGATGAGAAGTCAATCTGCGAGCAGCTCACACGGCGGGCCGGAGACCAGCGCGGCGAGTGCGATGAACGCGGCGACGGCGCGTACGACGCGGCGAGAAGGGCGCCCAGGGAGAGAGAGAGCATGCTGCATGGACGTTGGCACTGGGGCGCTGCTGGGAAGGAGTCGCGACTCGCGCCGCCAGGGCTCGCGCCGCCAGGACAGCGGCAGGCGCGGGAAGAAATCACTTCACGAGCGAGTGACGGGTAATCGTGGCCGTGGCCAAGAAAATCAAAATATTAAGCTCCCTGTTTGGACCACGGTGAAAAACTCGACGGTTTTGGGCGTTTCAGAGCACGCTGAATCGATTGGCTGAGCTATAATTCTCGCCAGCCCTTTCCTTTCATAATTATTGACTCAAAACTCGATGATCGCGCGACTTTGGAGCCGTTATAGCTCAGCCAAAACGTTCCTCTCGAAAAGTTGACTTAGGAAGCCGCAAACGGCAGCTTCTCAAAGCCTCACCCGCGCTTATTCTCTTGATCTTTCAAAACCTAGGCCTGCGGCCAAAATTTTCTAAAGGCCGCTGCGCGGCCAGCGCAATGCGCAACCTAGTCAGTGACCGACAGTCTAGCAGCTAGACTGTGACGATTGGCGGCCTCGCGC